TGTCCCCTTGCCATAATGCCAAGATGGGGCACTGAGATATTATTATCCCATGTGGCATTGGCTCTCAGAAGTGAGAGGAGGGTGACAGGAAGAAGTCATCTTCATCAATGACATCTTTGTGCTGGGGGAAACTGGTTTCTTTGCTATCATGGACAAGATGGTTTCTGGGACCAACTATTTTTTCTGGATCAAGTATACAGACATCTGAGCTCAGAGCAAGAGGAATTCTGACTCTGCAGTCATGATGGGTGAGTCTGCAAAGATTTCGTGTATGGGCTCAATTTGAGTAAACAACCTAAAGTTGCTCTGCACCACTGGGGCTCCCCAATGACCCTGTAAATCTCTCTTCCAGCATAAATCTTTTCTGTATCTAGGGATGCTGACATGGCCCTCTTTACCATGTAATGACCTCAGTGATGAATGGATTTTATCTTCACAATACCCATGAGGTAGGGATGTATTAGCCCCATGAGGAAGTGAGGCACAGGTGTGTGGCAAACCAAGCTGGCACAGGGAAGCAATGAGAGCCAGGAATTGATATCTGATCTCCCAAGTACCAGGCCACTTTCCTACCTGTCCATGCATAAGCGCTGGCTCCACGGGACTTGCTTTTTCTGGTTAAACCTGTTTCCAAATGAGTAGTGTTGGCATTAGCTCCTGGGGTTGGTAGTTGTATTGAAAGAAATGGAGAGTCCTGCCCAGAAATGTCTCCCAACATCTACATAAGTGCCAAGAGGCTGATTAATTCCTGTCAGCCTCATCTTTTTCATTCAGTAACCTCCACCACCCTAGCCTGGATTTTGCTGGCCAGAGGCAATCACCTGTAGCGAAAACTTGTGTTATTTCACAGAAAGTGCCTTTTTTACAATCAGCTTTTGTACTCAATTCAAGCTAAATCAGTTTAGTACACTTCAACCACAGGAGACTTGGAAAACATATAGATAGGCCCAGTATTGTCTGTTGTTGCCACTTGCTGCCTCTGTGAGTGTGACTTACTTGATAATAGCTTCATTATCAAATTTGCCACCCACAGTATCAACCCTGTACAGGCATGAACAGCTATTAATGTTGACAAGGCTGATATCTGTGCAGCTCCTTTCTCTGTGGCTTGCCCAAGTTCCAGCTCTCCAGATTCCAGCACACGCATCTGCCTACTTCTTATACATGTGACCACAGCATCCCCCTCATGAAACAGTTCTGTTGGTTCACCATTCATTTCAGGATCCAGTTCAAAATTGCCCCCCCCCCCCATATTTTTGTTTTCAAACTGAGACACAGACTAGTTCATGTCTCAGAGAAATTCAGCAGAAGAATCAAGAATGGATTCCAAGAATCCTCACTTCCAGGCTCTGCTCGAACCTTTTAACTACTTTTTAAAAACATGTAACTAGTCAAGAGCAAAAATACCCTCTCATAAGTAGCTGCTGGACAACTAATTTAGAGCCTGATTTTAAAGCAATATGGAGGCACAAAATGTATGTGCAAAGCCACTTAGCCCATAGTAAAATTGAGCATCTGGCCAAAGTGGGGTATAAAACCATTGGCTTTGCCTGCAAGTGTCTGTAGCATATGAGGAGATATAAAACTTCAGCTACAGAAAGACAGTGAGGAAACAAGCCTAACCTTTTCTCAAAGATCTGAAATCTGATCCCACCTCATATACGTGTTGCCGTTGACTTGAAAGGGAGCAACTTACAACTTTGCCACTAAGTGGCTTAACAATAAGGTTAATGTCTGGATTTGATATGGGAGTGGAGTTCTCCAAATTGTATGTTCCCAGTCTCAAACTGTAACCTGCTTGGTGAGTGCTTTCTTGTTTACACTGTCCCAGTTGGCACCCAAAGATGCTCATACTGGGACAGTTTGCACTGTGGATGTGTGACATGCTGCTGCATCTTAGAATAAATATGGCCTCATCTAGTGTTAGCTTTGTAACATTTCCAACATCCCAGGATACTTTTCCATCAATGGAGGATTGTTCCTCCTGGGACTTGTAGTTAATTGCTCAGCTCATCTTTTGTTTACTTAGAAGCTTAAAAAAGCCTTTGGCACACAAGCCAACAAAGGCTATAGCTGTGTCTCTGACGTACACAGTACTGTATTAATGAGGATGGCTCAAGTCTATTTGGGAGGGTTTGCCTACTTAGGAACTACACAGTTAGTACAATCGCATTTGCTCTAATCCCTCAGACAGAGACAAACACCTACAAGATCTCTATCAAGCATTCTTTAATCTACAATACCCAGCTGCTGAAGTGAAAAAAACAGATTGACAGAGCCAGAAGAGTACCCAGAAGTCACCTACTACAGGACAGGCCCAACAAAGAAAATAACAGAACGCCACTAGCTGTCACCTTCAGCCCCCAACTAAAACCTCTCCAGCACATCATCAAAGATCTACAACCTATCCTGAAAAATGGTTCCTCACTCTCACAGATCTTGGGAAACAGACCAGTCCTCACTTACAGACAGCCCCCCAACCTGAAGCAAATACTCTCCAGCAACCACATACCACACAACAAAAACACTAAACCAGGAACCTAGCCTTGCAACAAAGCCTGATGCCAACTCTGTCCTCATATTTATTCAAGTGACACATCAGAGGACCTAATCACATTACCCACGCCGTCAGGGGCTCATTCACCTGCACATCTACCGATGTGATATATGCCATCATGTGCCAGCAATGCCCCTCTGCCATGTACATTGGCCAAACCAGACAGTCTCTATGCAAAAGAATAAATGGACACAAATCTGACATCAGGAATCATAGCATTCAAAAACCGGTAGGAGAACACTTCAACCTCTCTGGCCACTCAGTAAAAGACTTAAGGGTGGCAATTTTGCAACAGAAAAGCTTCAAAAACAAACTCCAAAGAGAAACTGCTGAGCTTGAATTAATATGCAAACTAGATACCATTAACTTGGGTTTGAATAGAGACTGGGAATGGCTGTGTCATTACACATATTGAATCTATTTCCCCATGTTAAGTATCCTCACACCTTCTTGTCAACTGTCTAAATGGACCATCTTGATTATCACTGCAAAAGTGTTTTTTCTCCTACTGATAATAGCTCATCTTAATTAATTAGCCTCTTACAGTTTTTATAGAAACTTCCACCTTCTCTGTATATATCTATCTATCGTCTTACTATATGTTCCATTCTATGCATCTGATGAAGTGGGCTGTAGCCCATGAAAGCTTATGCTCAAATAAATTTGTTAGTCTCTAAGGTGCCACAAGTACTCCTGTTTTTTTTCCAGTTAGCTGAATTCCTTAAAAAAAAGGTCCTAATTAAAAGTTCAGTTATTTGCTTTTATGTGGTGGGAAACAGAATGTAAAAAGAATGTAATAGTCTACAATTTAAACACAAAAAGCTAGAAAATACTCAGATAAAGTTGCCTATAACTATTGGCCTAAATCTTCAGGAAAAAATATACATGCAATTACCCACGGGCACACACACAGAGACACACACACAAAGATACCTTAGCAGGTTGTTAACAGATAATTTCTGTAATTCAGACTCCGCATTTTAGGATAGTCTTGTGGGTCAGGCATTGGACTGGGACTCAGATGATCTGTATTCAGTTTCCAGCTCTGCCACAGATTTCCTGAGTGACCTTGGGCAAGTCACTTTATCACTCTGTGCCTCAGTTCCCCATCTGTAAAATAGGGATAATATTTCCTTTCTCACACCTTTTGTCACATTAAATCATAGGCTCTTTGGGTATACAATGGGTATGAAGAAATGCCTAGCACAATGGGGTCCCAAACTTGGCGATGGCCTGTAAGGGTATCATCACGCTGCAATAAAATACCTGCGGTTGGCCTGGGTCAGCTGACTTAGGCTGGGCTACAGGCTATAAAATTGCATCATAGACATTCGGACTCCAGGGCCCTCCCACATGGTGGGGTCTCAGAGCCTGGGCTGCAGCTTGGCTGAAGGTATACACTGCTATTTTATAGCTTTAATCCCACAAGCCAAAGTCTGGTGACCCTGGCCAGCTGCAGATGTTTTACCTAGGGAGGTGGTGGAATCTCCTTCCTTAGATATTTTTAAGGTCAGGCTTGACAAAGCCCTGGCTGGGATGATTTAGTTGGGGATTGGTCCTGCTTTGAGCAGGGGGTTGGACTAGATGACCTCCTGAGGTCCCTTCCAACCCTGATATTCTATGATTCTATGATACTGCATTGTGTTTCTGGAGTACAACTAATAAAATCTATGAGATTATAATAGCCTGTGTTTCTATTTATCATGTTGTTTAGGGCATAAAAATATCTTCTCATAAGAGGACTGTTTCTGAGCTATGTCTAGCATGCTGTGCAGTTAACTGGATTTTGAGTACCTTTGGAAGTGCGTTTAAGAATCCAAATCTCACTTAGCTGGCAACACTGACATTGTCTGGAGCTTTGAAAATGAACAGCAGGATTTTTGAAATGGCTCCCATATCTAATTGGCAAGCAAAGAAAAGATCTTCATGTGGAGAGGAGGCCCAGTAGCGTGCGGGTAAGTGATAGTCGTGCCTAGGGATGTGCCAAGCAGGGATGGGCCAACTGCTTTGAACGAAAACCAGAAACTGGCCCTAATCTCAGCCCGCAGCAGCGAGGGACACTTCATTCACCCTGTTGAAGAGTTTCCCCATTAGGATTCTTTGAAAGTCCCGTGGGAGGCAGAACGGTGGGTTGGAGCGCCCGAGGGAGGGGGGATCCAGTTCCCAATTTGCATCCTTGACTAATGCAGAATCCCAAATAACCTGGAGGGCAGGGGGCTGGAATGGTTAGAGCGGGGGAAGGGGGGCTGGGCGTCAAGACTCCAGGGGTCTATTGCCAGCTCTGCCAAGGCTCACGTCAGCGCTCCGTGCCTCAGTTTCCCCCTCTCCAATAGCACGTTTGCGGTGGGGGCGGAGGGTGGTAAAGTGCTGCGGGAGCCTGGGCGGGAAGGTGCTACCCGAGGCACCACCCCTTCTTCCTGGCTCCGTGCCTGGGGTGCTCAGGCAGAGAGCTGCCTTTCCCGGCGAGAGGAGGGGCCACCCACAAAGCCCCGCTGCCTGCAGAGGGACAGAGTCCAGCCCCTCAGCCCCACGCTGCCCAGCTCCGGGGCCGCTCCGCGCTGCGCCCCCTTCCCCAGCCCCTGCCTGCGGCTCCCCGGGCGGGCGGCGGAGGGACAGCGGCTGGGCTCGCACACCGCGCGGGAGCCGGCGGCGGCTGCGGGCGCTGTCCGCGGGCTGCGGGTGCTGATGGCCCTGGCCGCGGGGAAGGGGCTCAGCGGGGCCCCGTGAGCCCGCGCGGACCCCGCGCCCCAATTCAGCCGCTGCCATGGGCGCCGCCGGAGCGGGCAAAAGTTTGGCGCTGGGGAGGACGGGGCTGCCCGGCGGAGGGGCAGGGCGAGGCGCGGAGTAGCCCACGCGGGAAAGGTAAGGGGGGCCCCAGGCTGGCGCGGCGGCTGTGGGATACACCTTCCCCCCAGCGGGGCTGCGGGGGTGGGGGGGCGCGTCTGAGACACCCCCAAGTCGGGACTGTGCGCATGAGATTCCCCTCCCCCAGCTGGGGCTGTGTGTGTGTGAGGGAGAGACCCCCCCAACTGGGGCTGGGCGGTGTGTGTGTGTCAGAGGAAACCCCCGCCAAGGAGAGACTGTGTGTGTGTCATAGACCCCCCCCCTCCCCCGACTGGGGCTGTGCGTGAGACCCCTTTCCCCCAGATGGGGCTGTGTGTGTGAGAGAGAGAGACCCCCCAACTGGGGCTGGGCGGTGTGTGTGTGTCAGAGGAAACCCCCGCCAAGGAGAGACTGTGTGTGTGTCATAGACCCCCCCCTCCCCCGACTGGGGCTGTGCGAGAGACCCCTTTCCCCCGGATGGGGCTGTGTGTGTGAGAGAGAGAGAGACCCCCCAACTGGGGCTGGGCGGTGTGTGTGTGTCAGAGGAAACCCCCGCCAAGGAGAGACTGTGTGTGTGTCATAGACCCCCCCCTCCCCCGACTGGGGCTGTGCGAGAGACCCCTTTCCCCCGGATGGGGCTGTGTGTGTGAGAGAGAGACCCCCCAACTGGGGCTGGGCGGTGTGTGTGTGTCAGAGGAAACCCCCGCCAAGGAGAGACTGTGTGTGTGTGTCATAGACCCCCCCCTCCCCCGACTGGGGCTGTGCGAGAGACCCCTTTCCCCCAGATGGGGCTGTGTGTGTGAGAGAGAGAGAGAGACCCCCCAACTGGGGCTGGGCGGTGTGTCAGAGACACCCCCCCCCGTAGAGGTTCTGTGCGTGTGTCATAGATTCCCCCGTCTGGGACTGTGCGTAAGACCCCTTTCCCCCAGCTGCGGCTGGGTGTGTTTGGGTGTGTCAGGGACACCTCCCCACCCCAAACTGGGGCTGCGTGTGTGAGAGAAAGAAAGCGAGCACCCACCCCCCCCCCCCCCCGCCAACCTGGGGCTTCCCCTGTGGCCTCATGTTCCCCAGAGCATCTTTTGTTGTGGGAGTGAGCGCGAGCGAGTGCCCGAGCAGGGACATGGGTGGGTGCGTCCCCCCGAGGGCAGGAGCTGCAGGGGTCTTAGAGCTCTGACTGCACCAGATGGAGACAAGACTTGACTTATCCCTAGGGGGTGGGGAAGAGGGGTAACCCCACTTTAGGAGATGTTAAGCTATGTAACAATTGATTTGTTGGTGGGGGTGTGTGTGAAATCCTTTCTCTCCACCACCCCGGTTCCCTGCTCTAAATGTCCAATAACCTTCCAGCCAGGGGGCTATTTTTCCCCATCTGGGTGCAGTTCTGTGGTTTGTTAAGGATGTCGGCGGACTTCCTAGCTGTACAGCCCGGTGCTGTGGCTTGGCTTTCCCCGTTTACTAGGAACCTCGCAAATCAATCCTTCCTGTTCACTACTGAAAGATAAACTGGAGCTCAGTAGGGTCTCACCTGCAGCAGGTCCCCTTACCCCTGCAGGAAAGACTCTGGACTTGTGGCAGATTGGAAGGGCGGGGGAAAGCAGCTGTGAAAGGCTAAGACTAGTGAGGAAGAGATTAGACCCTACAGTATACAACGAAACATAGGGTCTTTCGAAACAGACCAAGGGGTGCAGCAGATCAGCTGTGAATTCCAACTCACGGTCTGTTTCCTACCGGACACCCTGACGCTGGATCTGGGCACGGGGTGCTGCCCTCTCTCTTTATCCCATGTGCCAGCGTTTTGTTCCCTCTGTGAGCGCAAGAAAAGAGTCTGGAGCACGGAACCTCTGGGCTTCCTACGAATGCACCTGCAGCAACGGCTGCTTGGAAAACTCTATCTCTGAAATCTGATTAACTCGAGGGAAAGGAGCTTTCACAGACCTTCTCTTCCCAGAACTGGGCTGAGCAATGGAGCGTAAATCGAATTCAACAGCTGCTTTGCAAGTCCAAAGAGTAGGTGGCTAAGCAGTTTTATTTTAAAAGGAGCAGTTCTGTGGTCAGGTAGGAAGGGGTAAGGGACTCTACTCCCCACTCCCCAAAGGAGGTAAAGAATATTTAGGGTTACTCAACTATAGTTCTGTTCTGTTCAATATCTTCATTAATGATTTGGATAATGGCATAGACTTTGCAGATGATACCAAACTGGGAGGGGGTTGCAAGTGCTTTGGAGGATAGGATTAAATTTAAAATGATCTGGACAAACTGGAGAAATGGTCTGAAGTAAACAGGATCAAATTCAATAAGGACAAATGCAGAGTACGCCACTTAAGAAGGAACAATCAGTTGCAGGCATACAAAACAGGAAATGGCTGCCTAGGAAGGAGTACTGCTGAAAGGAATCTGGGGGGGGGGGGGTCCTAGTGGATCACAAGCTAAATATGAGTCAACAGTGTGAAACTATTGCAAAAAAATCAAACATCATTCTGGGATGTATTAGCAGGAGTGTTGTAAGCAAGACACAAGAAATAATTTTTCTGCTCTACTCTGCACTGATTAGGCCTCAGCTGGAGTATTGTGTCCAGTTCTGGGCACCACATTTCAGGAAAGATGTGGAGAAATTAGAGAAAGTCCAGAGAAGAGCAACAAAAATGATTAAAGGTCTAGAAAACATTACCTATGTGGAAAGATTGGAAAAAATTGGGTTTGTTTAGTCTGGAGAAAAGAAGACTGAGGGGGGACATGATCACAGTTTTCAAGTACATAAAAGGTTGTTACAAGGAGGAGGGAGAAAAATTGTTCTCTTTAACATCTGAGGATAGGACAAGAAGCAATGGGCTTAAATTGCAGCAAGGGTGGTTTAGGTGGACATTAGGGAAAAATTCCTGTCAGAATAGTTAAACACTGGAATAAATTGCCTAGAGAGGTTGTGGGATCTCTATCCTTGGAGATTTTTAAGAGCAGGTTAGACAAATACCTGTCAGGGATGGTCTAAATAGTCCTGCAGCCTGGCTCAAGTGCATGGGACTGGACTAGAAGACCTCTCTAGATCCCTTCCAATCCTGTGATTCTATGAAATGATTTGCCTAGCACTAAATAAAAAGGTGTTTCCAATTATGTTAACGAAGCTACAGAAGGGCTGCATTCTGTGAGCCAGATTCACTGGAGCTGGCTCAGGGAAGTATAAATGCACCTCCCTATTCCAGTGAAGGTTCTTGCTCTTACTCTAAGGGAGGCAGGTGATGTTTCCTACTGTGGGAAGGAGCTTTACTGAGAGCTGCATAGGAGTGCTGCCTGTTGATACCTTGAATCAGTGCACTCCCTGAATATCCTACCCACTCCCCTTTCTACACCGATGCATACCTTCATCCCCATCATAGAAGAAGGGAGAGTGCAGGCATCTGGCACATCTGCAACCTCCTCCCCTACTAGATTCTCTTTCACCTACATCAGATTTCACTGAGGGTGAATTTGGCCCATGTTCCCACAGCATGACCCATGGCTGCACCATTCTGCAGTCTCCTAAGGCAGTGCCTTGGAAATACATTAACAGCACCCCAGTTCTTCTCATGGAACTTCACCGTTAGTCCCCTTATAGCACAATACCAGTCCAATTTGCTTTCCTATAGCAATACACAGCCCAGATCTTATTATTTCCATGGGATTCACCACCAGAAGTTCTTCAAGCAGTTTGGCCTCTCTGCTAGCTGCTGTAAGGTCCATAAAGTTGCTAGGTCCTCAAAGGCTGCTTTTGGCAGGAAGTAACTAGATTGAGCTGTGCTAGTTGAAGGCCACAGACAGGCCCAAATGTTCAGAACTGTGCATGCTTAATTGCACAAACAAAACTGAATGTATATTTGCATACACAAGGGCTGTAACTTAACAAGCAGCCAATTAGACATCAAACTTTCCCATTGTGTGTGCATTTACTTCAGTGCATACACAGGCAAGTCACATATGCAAATACATACATCTAAATATATGACTTTGGGAGGTTCCTTGCATTTTCTATCTGTTATGCTTTTGAGAAAATAGAAGAGTCACTTTCTCATGAAATTCCAAAGAGGAATTTAAAGTTGATTAATAAAACATAGTAGGGGGGAAAATAAACCATTACCTTACGTTTCCAGCATTAGCACAGTCAGACTGTGGATCTTATAACTTGGGGGTCTAATAAGTTTAGCCTTAGCATCAATTAAAATGCTTAGATGCAAAAGGAAGTGAGGGGTGAACTCCTAAGGACATTCATCATACAAAGTACAGTGAGATTGGGTTGTCATTAGCTGTGAAATTAAATACTGTGAAGTAGCTTTTTCATTCTGACAATTCTGAAAACACCTTAAAAAGCAGTGTTTTCATTTCAGTTCTCATGCTCCTTTCTGTGCATTCAAGTCAGAAGGAGAGCCCAGCTGGGTGCCATTGTGCTGTAAGAGAGCTCCTGCAATTTGGAAATTCATTAAAGGTGATGTGAAGAGGTGGGAAAACTTAGCCTTATGCCCTTCTCTGCTTCTTTGTGATAGAAAAGGTTAATCCCAGAGGTTTTTCCATTTTTTTTTCTGCTTGCTTTTTACATTAAAAAGCACCTGTCTAGGCTGACAGACTATAATGACTCAAGCACTAGTGAACTGGTGACATCACAAGATCCAAGAGAGTAATAGCTGTACTATTAAGTGTCTTTTGAAGAGGCTGCTTAAAGCGGTTTTTTTTAATAACATTTTTAATACTACTTATCATTAATTGATAATTAACATTTTTGGCTAAAGGAAGCCTTTGTTAAAGATCCAGAATCCTCACCCCTTCAATTAAGGTACTAGAGCAATAAACCACTGAGATCTCCCAGTGGTTCTCCAGCAAAACGAAGGAACACCAGACCTGCTAATTTTTTTAAGGCAAGAAAACAAATAGTATTTTAAAAGCCTCTCTTTCTCCATCATAAAGAAATACAAACCCAATTTGTTTCAGTTCTTTGCAGTCATGGCACAGGAGGGAAGGGATTTGAGGGCAGCATATGAGGGCTGCATGGGGCAGATGGAAGAGGCTTGGGAAACATTTCCCTTCCTCATTGGAGAGGATTTTGTGTGTTCATTGCCACAATTCCATTGCAACAAGACTGGCTTCTTCAGTGGAAACTCAGATAAATGAGCCAACTGCACACACTCAATAAAAGGATAAAATTCAGGTGGAGTTGAATCTCTGAGTGAAGAAAACTTGGTGCAAAAACAATTGCTGCATTCGCAGGTAGCTCAGATCTCAAAGTCAATACCTTGTCTATGTCAAAAATGAAATTTCATTTTTAAAAGAGACCCAGAAACCCTGGTTAAATACAATGAGCCAGATTCTCTCCTGTTATGCTGGTGCAGCCCCAATCACCTCCCTGGGGGTTTCATTGGCATAACTCAGATTATTTGTCTCTGTCATCCAACAAGCTTCATTTACTAACACATTTACACGCTCCAGCAAAAGGGGTGGGGGGAAAGCTATGAAGGTTTTTTTGTTTACTCTCCTTAAACAAAACAAAAAACAGACACAGCAAGCCAGGTCCTTGAACGCACTAGGATGTAACTGGCCAAAAGAGCAGCAACTACACAGGAGGGTTGTAGCAGGAAAGGGGTGTGGCTGAGGTTTATGTGGGACCCTTGGGGCAATTGGCAGCCAGAAAAAAAAATCCTACAGCAGTTTTCAGGCTGCTTTTAGTTATGCGGGAAGCCTGGTACAGCCCAGAACAACCCAGGATTGTGGGTGCATAAATGTGATTTAAAGCCACCTTTGCACTCAATTTCTTGATCTATCCTGGGTGCTCCTTGGCTGGAACTCATGCTGTGGACGTGGATTAAATAGCCCCATCTATTCAAATCTCACTATCACTCACAATTTACAGGAGGAAAAAAGTCTCTCAAGCTGTAAATCTGCAGATCACACCCATCTGACCTGGAAATTAACAAGAGGAAGCTTGCTGGATTTCTAGTTTCCATCAGTCTTACAGAGGACACAGCGAGGGGACTGTCATTCTCACTATAAATCAATGCAGAAAAACCTGTGAGAAAGGTAAGGGGCACTTAGCATGATATACATGTGGAAGGAGTGAGGAGTGGATTGATTCTCTTGGTTATTTAGCACATGCTAAGAACAAGTAGGCAGTTTCATGGAGTTAACATTGGTTGCGTTAATTTCCTGTGCAGATCTCATTCTTCTTTTAATCCGAAAACACAGCACATAGTGACTTTTTGCATTCTGTTCCTTAGGATGTACTCAGTGTATATAGGTAATTATGCTAAGTGAACAATTACCTAAGGAGGGTCAGGGAGTTTCCACTCTGCCCAGAACAACTCTGAAACCTGGTTGGAGGCCTCACAGACTTATAATAACCCTCTCCTGGATGTATTCTGCTGTTGAGGAAACACCTGTGACAGATACATTTTCCACTGCATTACAAGTAGTTAGGAAAGCTTCAGAAGAACAGGGAGGGGGAACAGAATAAATCTAACACTTGCGAATTACAAATGCTTTAAAAACCAACAGTCATGCAAATGAGTATATTCAAACAAAGATGCACTGGATTATCAGTAGGAACTATTATATTCCCAAAATAATAACTGCAGAACAAACAGTAACACTCATTAAACAAGACAATACAAGAGAAGCAGGATGATATTAGCTATTAGTCCATGTAAGGGTAAAGCACATACTAATAAGGCAGTATTTTTCTTTAAGTAGAACTTATGGTATTTGGTGTTGCTTCTTTGACACTAGCTCTATGTTCTTCACAACAGAAGACCTCCAGGATGCAAATTTTAATTGATTTTCTTCTTTCATATTTTTACTGCCAGTTTATTAACACAGAATGAAATTTTAAGCCTCAGTGTCAAAAGTGCACTCTTCTAAGTGCACATCAGAAACCCTTTGTGGTTGCATACCTAATTTGTACATGCAATTGTCCTCACAAATTGGGGTATTTTTTTATGTGCAGAGAGGCAATTATGTGCATGACTGAGCAAATTAACATGACTATACATGCACATGTCTTTTTCCACGCATAACTGTAGTATACATGCACGTGTAAAAGAGAGACTCACCAGCCAGCACACCACCTTGTTGCTGGGCATGGTGTAACATGTTCTCCTTTGGCACACCCCTCTGATAGCCACTCCAGCCCTGCAGTAGTTGGACTTTTCCCCTGACTCAGCCCTCCAAGCAGGTCACTTATAATCCCCCCATTCTGGGATAACACTGTCCAAACTAAAAGGAACAAATAAATTCTTCCATGCTTTCTTTGCCCCATCCTTGGCAAACTCTCCACCATCATCAGGCTCTACAGTTCCCCCTCCTCCTTCAGGAGGTTGCCTCCCTAGGCTGTCTCCCTGGAGGCCTGGCACTTCCTGAGCTGCTGGCCATAAGGACTTCTTCCCTGGAGACTCTTCCCCTAATCGGGATCAACTCCAGTTTGCAGCCCAAAGCATCTGCTTGTAGGTTAGCCTTCTCTCTGTCTTACTTCAGGCATCTCCTACAGCTCTCTCCCAAACCCCAGGAGGATTAGCTTTGTCAATCTTTTGTGCAAATACTCTCACCTTCTCAGCAGGGTCCAACATTACCCAAGGCTACCTGATCAGGATCAGCTGGGAGAATAGTTGATCTTCACAGGTAAGGCTGAACCTGACTCCCCTTAAAGGATCAGTCTGCCTGTGACAATACGGTTTTGAAAATCAACAGCTAAAGTGTAGAAGCTGCATTGGAGGATTTTAGCAGGGGCTTAAATTTTCCCTGTGAAATGCAGAAGATCTTACTATAATTCAGATGATCTGGCCTGGCCTCTTAATTTTTCACACTTTCTTCTGTAAACACAGTTGATTTCACCTACAGAAGTGAGCATGAACCTCTTCTGTGCACACAGGAAGCCATGTGTGCCTTCAAACTGGCCAACCAGCTAAGAGTTTTACTTGATTCACAAACTAATTATTATTTTTATTAGTAGTAGTACAGTAGTGTCTAGGAGCCCCAGTCATGGACCAGAACCTCATTGTGCTAGGTGCCGGATAAACACAGAACAAAAAGATGTAGGGTTTGGGTGCATGAAATCAGAACCCAGCTTGACGCTGGACAAAAATTTGTTCCAATGCGTGACCAGAATGTGTGCACTAGCCACACCATCTCTTTGACTCTCAAGTTAGCCACCATCATTGTACTTAATAGATTTGCTATTCTGTAGGGAGGTGGCTCAGTCCAGCAGATACAGCACAGAGCTGGGAAGCAGAAGGCTAGTGTCTATATTGGGGTCTAGTCTTTTCTTTCCATTACTGCATAAAAACAGCCCCAATCACCTGTAAATATTTCTTTTTCTTTCACAACGAAAGCCTTGTTTCACAGAAGTTTGACATCATTGTCTGAGATGATCAGCTGTAGCTGGAGTTTGGCTGGAATAGAACAATTTGACTGGATAGCTTTTTTGTAGTGCAAAACCTGAACAAATATGCTCAGGTCATCATCCTGCTGTTCACACACGCCCTCACTGTATCTCATAATTGGACACATTATACTGTACAACCTCATTCATGAGGCTGGGACATTTCTAAATAGGATGTTCAGTTCTTATTTCTCATTATCAAACAAAGAGCAGGGAAGAAGACTAAAGGCGAATGAATGTGACAGGTTTTAAGAGGCTCTTCAGACTCAATAGGATGACTAGCAGGGGGTTGTGCTTAATTTAAGATCATATTCACACTTGTGCGGCCTAACCACTAATCAGGACTAAAGGACTCCTGAGGATCTGAGAGTTTGCCAGCAGCACAACAGTTTGGCTATGGCTGTTGTCAAAGGAGCTAATAACTGGCTTGTTGTTCCCTGTGATGAAGATGCCATGTGTTTGTCCTGCAGAACAAGGTGTTATACATAACAAGTGCAGTGGCCAAGTTTGCATGTCTCAGCTGCTGTATTGGTCTCTCTCCTGCTTTGTTCATTAACAGTCATTAGAACCTAAAACAGTATTCTGTGCAGATACAGCAGCTCAGTAGGGGATTTCAGTGGGAAATGCTTTTACTGAAATATGTGTTAACATTTTTTTTGCTTCTTTTATTGAGCTTTACAGTAGAGACCCAAATATCTATATTCAGCAGAGCTGTGCTCAGCACCTGACCTGGTGTGGGGTAGAAAGGCAGCTCCCCTATTCCAGCCTGGTGGGGATGAGGTGAGGGGGAAGGGGACCGGTTGCAGCCTAACTTACAGCAAAATAAAATCGTGCCCTTGTTGTGCCTCTGGGTCACACAGATCCTCTGAACTTGGGGCAGGGAAACAACTGGAAGGAGCTGGTTTTATTAATGTCACCCAGGGGTTCCTGCTGCATCCCTTATCTTTCTAGTTAGGGGAGCTCTTTGTTCCCTTGGCACTGTTGAAGGTGTTTCCAAGGGACAAATCCTGCCCCTTCCTCTCCCTGGATGCAGAGGTTCTCCCAGACACAGTGGAGCTGGTGTGGATCTGCTGCATGAAAGGGAGGAGGATGGAATCTGGAGTGCCCACATAGGGGCAAGGTGGGCTGGAGGAAGGCTAGAGGATTTGTCAGCTCCGTGTGCTCTGGTCTTCCACAGGGGCCCAGGAGCTGCTACCCTGAAGCGTGGGGTCAATGATTGCTTCCTTGGCATCGGAAAAGGGTTTGACCTGAAGCAAGGAGTAGATAAACACCCATTGCAATGGAGCAGTTTTCAGGTGGAAAGAAAGGTACCTTTCCCTATCCTGGCCCTGAGAGCCCTGCTTTCAGTGGGCACTGGGCAGACCTCCCTGTGTTATGGGATATTAGGCAAGCAACCATCCTTTCCCCAAATATATCCCAGTGGGCACACTCCTCCTTCCACATCTCCTTTTGCCAAATCCTAGCCATCCTTTGGGAGTCAAAGATCCTTCCCAAGATCTCCCCTGCACCTGCTTGCCTTTAATGTTCTTTTCTCGATTTATGTCTGCTAAAGCTTTAATCCAGGGATTAAACATCTGCATCATCCCCAGGGTGCTGAGAGCTCCCAGGCAGACACAGACTATGCAGGTTTATTTGCATTTCCCAATAATGGACAAAGGCACCTTTCTCCATTGCTGACTGAACTGGGGCCCCTATTCCTTAGGTGTCTGTGTGTGTCTTGCCAGACAGCGAGATTCCAGTCTCCTGTGGCAATCTTAGCAGCATTCAAAACAATCTGATGAATATTTAGTGAAAAAAAACACAAAGAAAAGGAGATGAAACCTCCCTTTACCCAGATTTGCTGGTGACCTACCCTCATGTGAAATTTAATCCGTGTTCAAATCCAAATTGTCATCTGGATTGGCTACATTTAATCCTGCCTGAGAGTGGGGGAAGGAGGAGAGGACCTCTTGAAGTCCTTTCCTGTTCTATATTTGTATGGTTCTTTCTCAGTGCAAAATCAGCAAACTGCGGCCACTTGGAGCTGTGAGCAGCCGGAGCTGTAGATGCTCAGGTAAACAAAGTGTCTTGCAGCCTGCCAGGGCTTTACCCTGAACAAGCCACTAACCAAGTTTGAGAACCCCATGTATACAGAGACCTCAGCCTGCTTAGCACCATGGCAGATGCACCATTAAAACTCCTTTTAACCTTTTATTAAAGATACAGAAAAGAAGGAAAAATAGTCAAAGCATTTGAAATGTAAAATATTAAATAAAGTTTTCATTCTAACAACGTTCCTTGTTCCCTTTCCTTCAGTGGGAGAGAGTCCTTAGAAGGGAAACCCCGCTGTGTTTAATAGTCTCTTAGACAGTATCCACGATGGTAATAACTATCCTTCTGGGGAAAAGAGAAGAAGTTAGTTGAGGTGGGCTGGAGATGTTACTGCTGTTGTCATTAATGCCCAATCTTAGAAGGAAAAGCCCCCTTGTGTGACAGTCTCTTAGATGGTATCAGAGATAGCAATAACTGTCATCCCACATGGTGTTTGGGATTCAGCGGTAGCTGGTAGGGATGGTGATGTCATTTGGATCTCGCTGTCTCTGGCCCATTCTGGTCAGAACACCTCTCAGGATCAGGATGAAGACAACCCTTGGTGCTAGGAAATGGTGCGGGTGGCAGCCATAGTTGGTGAAGCCTGCTCCAGTTGCCTCCAGCTCTTCTTCTTTTTGTCCTTTCCCTACAAAACCTCTTTCTTTTATGGAACCAAAAAGGGAGCGATGGGTGGAATAGCCCATCCCTTCATTATTTTGTTCACCAATTAGGCCTAATATCCAAGACACCAATTTTGGTTGATTAACTTCTGGCTCCACAGCTCCTGTTTTTAACGAGTATAATGTCAATATAGTCCTTGAATCAAGTCAGCTTGGCCTTTTTGTTTAGACTAATTCAATTATTCTGTCTTCTTTTCATACCTTTTCCCATCACCATTTGTTTTTCTCAGATTGAGACTCATGAGTCACAAGTGTCTCTTTAATATGTCTCCTGCAGCTCTTTCCAAAACATGATATTAAAAACACTCTGTGTGATTTAATTATTAACCAATCTAAGTTATTAACCAATCTGGATGCTTTTACTATGTTAACCAATTGTAGTTGATAAAATAATACTTGGTCAGTCATTTTGCTGTGAGCATATATACACTAAATATTTCCTGTCATACTGATTAAATATGACTATATCATACTATAGTAAATGAAACAATGACTTCACACGACTGTGGCTCTTTTGAATAATGTTGATCACTAATTTGGCCCCTGAACCACTGAGGTCTGGTTATTGCTATTCTAGGTTATTGTAATGTTATAAACTTTTACATAATTTTGACAGTTGAGCTTACAATTTGGGTAAATTCGTAGGCCCAGTTGTCACAGCATAACTCACCCTAACTAACATGGCCAGCATTCGATCTAATTTCTCCAGGCAGCTCCCCCATTTTCATAGTACTTGAACATTAATCCAATGGGAGTAATTTGATCATGAAAGCATTTTTATTGGCTGGCTAAAGCATAACCTCCACCCTAATCTCCAGTCCAACCTAAAAAGCCTTTGAAATGTTCCCAGTTGACTCCCCTTTGTGATGACTGGTGGAGAAAGCTACCCGAATTATAAAAACCCTGTGACTTGTGTGCAAAACCAACCCAATGTCTTGAGAAAGTCATGAACCAGGCCAAACTGATTACAGTCCACAGTGAAGTGGTGTACAGGGACCAGTAAATCAGGGAATGACGATCTATTGGCAGGATCTATTGGCAGCTTAACACCAAATTAGTGCCTTAAAATAGATTTACACTCAAAGCCAATTTAGTTGCTACTTGAAGTAGTTAGGTTCATCTGTCTGAGTGCAGTTTTGGATGGGAGTCTGGCTTTTTTACCCATGTATAAATAACAATTTGTGGTTGCTCCATTTGTGCGATCTAATGTCATCAGTAATCCATGAAAAGAAATACTGTACCCCACAGAGCTATTAGCCCAACAGTTATCCTCTAGGTAGTCTTGTGTCTTAAATGAAATGCTGCAGATAAAAGCCTGTTAGCAATTTCATGGCATCCCAGTTAGCAGTGTAGTCTAGTGGACTAAGCACAGGACTGGCAGTCAGGAATTTGTAACCGTGAATTCCAGTCTGATATTGACTGCTTTTGTAGTCTTGGGCAAGTCACGCCACTGCTCTGTGGCTCAGTTTCCCCATCTGTAAAATGGAGGTAATACTACTTATCTTGCTTGCAGAATCGCAGAAGTTGAAGGTGGAATAGATCCAACCCATATCCCTGAGAGCAATGCATGATTGTTCCCTACAGTATATTTATATTTCTTTGTCTAGTCCAGCTTTAAAATTCTAAGCACTGGGGTTTCCACTCCTTCCCCTTGGAGACAATACCATGCTTGACACAACTCACTGTCAAGAAGTTTTTCCTGATATTCAGTTCACATTTCTCCTTTCTCAGTTCCAGCCCATTAGTCCAGGTTATACCCCCATGGGGCCTCCTAAATAATTCAAGATCCAAAAAGAGACAGGGAGCCAAATTTTTATCATTTTCACACCTGCTGTCACCTTACTGAGACATTTAAATCCTGCACGTGGAAACTCAGTTCAGCATTTAAATGTCCTTTCGACCAGAGCATTCAAACCCAGTGTCTGGATATTCTATTGCATCCCACATCTCTGAAAATAGGGCCCAGCTAATCAATGCAATGAAGAGACACAGAAAAGCTGTTGCCAGGTTGAATGAGCTGCAAGGATGAAGCTCTCCAGCACACTCTCACTTTCTCTCTCTTTGGAGATAGCTATTACTGTGTATTCAATATTCTCTCACATCACTGGGGGATGGACTAGTCATGCATCTAGGATAGCACTATCTGTCAAATGGATCTCATAAGTGATTTCTCAGTACACTGCTTAGGACCCGCTCTTCTGAGCTGCTCTGCCTGGGGGGAAAGGGGGGGGGGGACACAACGACACCTGGGGGGGGGGTGTACGTACACACACTGCTGGCTGTCCAGTTACCTCTAGTATGCACTAGTTCTGGGACAGCCTTTATAGGAGAACTCACCTAATACACCTTCAGCACATATCACCTCTGGCTTCATACTTCATCGCAGGGTGGGAGCTCCTCATTCCACCGACAGTTTGTGCTGGTGTCATTTGGCCTGCCCAGCACATGGGGAGCCCTCTCTTCACATTGTCTTCAGCTGAATTCCTTTTAGAACACCTGTGGTTCTATTATTCATTGGCATGGCTCCTATTTATTAGGGGCTCATATGGTACACATGTGGAGGGCAGAGAGCAAGGAACAGAAATAATGCAGGTATTAAATATCCCAGAAGCAGGCTAGCAGCCATTAAAACATAATTATCTCATTATTTTCTCCCCTTCCTCCCCTGTTTTTTTTTAAATAAGTAAAATATTTTTCCATTTATTTGTTATCAGCAGAGGGAGTGAATATTCTGAAAAGCGTCAAACGTTCCACTTTACTACCCCCTATTAACTTTCTAAGCACCTTGGAACCTTTGGTTCAGCTGCATGAAATAACATAATAATTAAATAAATAATTAGACCAATAAAACATGATGACTTAGGCATCCTAAGAAAGTGAACATAACTTTTTTTTAAAAATACACCCATATCAGCAAGCTTACTGTCTATCCTGCCAGGATTTTAAATGAGGAAGTACTTGGAATAAACAAACAAACAAACAAATTACCAACCAGAAACAGCCATGAAATGTGGGGACAGAAGGTGATTCAACAGTTCCTCAAAAACAGATGTGTCTGCCTCATCTTCTTTCTAGTGCCATTTCAGATATCACATGGCAATGGAAAATTAGAAAAGGTCCCGCTGGTGTGTGAATGGTTTCGGAAGTTTCACACCACATCATCAAATGAAGAACTGCGGCCAGATCCTCAGCAGGTATAAAATTGGTGTCACTCTATTGACTTCAGTAGCGCAATGCTGATTTACACCTGCTAAGGATCAGGCCCCTGGTGTATAGTGCAAGAAACAAGAAGACTTTTTTTAAAAAAAGTGTGGGCTCCAAGGATATAAAATAGACAATTCCTTTAATTAAACTCCTTTTGACTGTAAAATCAAAGTCCTGTTATGGAGCAGGAATCTCCATGAAGCAGTTTGTGCAATCATTTGGGTACAGAAATGGTTTAAAATAAACCCCACAACTAGTATTTGGGTTGTCAGGAGCAAATCCTGTAGCCTTTCATGGCCTGGGAATTTGCTGTTACCCACAGGATAGCAGTTAGTTGAATTGCATGAGAAAGA